GACACAAATATCAGCCCATAGGTTTCCCTGTGGGGCTCCGGTGTCAAAAACATGTTTATTGGCTTAATTTCCAAGACACTTGCTTGAATCTGGATTCGGTCCTTGCACGCTGTCCAGTGGCTGCCTACTACTCCTAGTACTTAGGGTTAATGCAGAAGACAAATTTCACTGTACATTGTACTGTGAATGTTTGTATACTGTATGTCACATTAAAGTTGATTCCTCTTCTAACGTGAAAGAGTCTAGGGATGTCTGAATGGATGGGTAACTTCCCCTCTCCTCACTCCCCTCCCCCTCTTCCTCACCTGTGGCCTCAGGATGTTCCTATAGATGTTGGAGGTGAAGATGGAGGCTGCAGACAGTAAGGCCGAGTCCGTGGATGACATCACAGCGGCGGCCACCGCCCCAATACCGATGATGGAGATGTAGGTTGGGGTAAGGTGCTGCAGGACGATGGGCAGGACGAGTCCGGTCTCCCCACGTTCAAATGGAGAAGGAGAACCATAAGAAGTCAAGTTCCAGTCTGAGAAGCATGAAGAAAAAAAGGTGAGGGGACAGAGAAAGAGAAATGGACACAAACATCTAGACAAGCAATAAAAATGTACTTCACGTTAAACACTCTTTTTTTTTCCTGAATCTAATTCTGTTTATATTTTAATTAGTGTAATGATACTGTTTAATATCACCATCAAGATTAAGTCTAAAATTGTACATACATCCTGCACTGCACAATGTTTAATGTGATTCAGTATAGTACAGTTATTTTTTTATATTTTTCATCCTTTCATACTCTTAAATTGTAACTCAAACCGACAGTCAAAGGGGGTTTAACATGTAAACCATACAGATTTTTGATTCTTTTTAATGCTTCAACAGAAATACTGTAGATCAGTATGTATATAGTGACTATAAATTTAAACTTTTCAGATTCATGTAGCTTATGTGTATTACCACATTCATACAATGTTAGGCAGCTGTTATTTAAGTGTAGACATTTTTTTGTGATGTATCAAATTAACATAGGATAAAAATAAGATTCCCAAGTGATGTTTTATTCTGTTACCATACTTGTTGATGCAGCCACGGCACCGAGGAGTATGGGAGGGATGCCTAATGTGGGGACGATGAACGCAGCAGTGAAGCAGGTTATCTTGGCTGTAGCTGAGGAGGCCGCTGACAGCGTCCTCTGGTGAAAGTTCTGAAGACCCAAGTTCCCCAAACCCTTGGAGAGAGGGAGGAAAAACAAAAGAGAGGGAAGAAAATCAAAAAGGAGAATGTATTGTTTCGTAAACTCAGTCTCTCGAGGGTATGGAACATAAAACACAATATTTGCAGCAAACATTCATGCATTGTTTTATTTTATTTCATAAACTGAACAAAAATAAAAACATCATTGNNCAGCAAACATTCATGCATTGTTTCATTTTATTTCAAACATGTTTGTGGAAAATTGTAGGCACGCCACACTGTCAGCGCTTTCTTTTTGTAACCAGCTAGTCTTTCAGTTCTTGTATTTGGGAGTTTTTCCCCTATTCTTCCTTGTAAAAGGCTTCTAGTTCTGCAATATTCTTGGGGCGTCTTGCACGCACAGCTCTTTTAAGATCTACCCACAGATATTCAATGATATTTAACTCAGGAGACTGCGAGGGCCATTACTAAGCCTCCAGCTTGCGTCTTTTGTGGTAGTCCATGGTGGATTTTGAGGAATGTTTAGAATCATTATCCTGTTGTAGGAACTTTCCTCTTTACAGCTTCAGCCTTTTTTTACGGATGCTGTGATGTTTGCCTCCAGACTTTGTTGGTATTTTGTGAAATCCTTTCTTCCCTCCACCCGTGCAATGTTTCCTGTGCCACTGGCTGCAACACAACTCCAAAGCATGATAGATCCACCCCCCGAAACAATGCATGAGAGGCTGTGTTTATATCTTTCAAATGAAAAAGCATCCAAAACGTATTAGAAATGTGTTTAAATTCAAATTCAAAATATAGTCATTTCAGTTTTTGTGAACTTTCCTCATATTGGGTTGGAATTAGGCAACAAATGTAGCTACTTACCAACAAATATAAGCAAATATATTATATTGTAATTCATTCTCATTCATGCTGCACGGCTCTTCTGCCAACAGCTCTGGGGTCTGTCCCTCTCTAAATAGTTTGTTTGATCTTATAAATATTTAAATACTTTTACTCATGACCCCTTTGTGCTACTGAGTTAAGCTCACTGAACAGTTGGTCTACAGCTGCCCCGACCCACAGCAAGTAATGGTTTCGGTTTCCGGTCAGAAAAAGCAAAAATATAGTGGAAATATTCTAAATATAACGTAACCTTACACTGGTGTTGATTTTTTGTTGATGTGGGGCTTCCAGGTAGCTTAAATACATTTAGCTTCTGCCCTATCCACAACAGTACTGAGGGATCATTCAAAACTGCCACGCCTACACAATCTTGATGAATAGTCTATAAACCACAAATTCAGCAGCTTTTTAATTCGGTTTTCTAATAGCCATTAATTTTTTTTATTATTTTCACATTTTTGTGGATGATTAATGAGGCACTTAACTTTGATATCACACTGTGATTGCACCCTATGAAGCCACATTTCCAGAGGCTTTAAAGGTTTTATTATTAGGTGTCCTGTCCTTATCTATATTAAGTGAGTTTTCTACTTTATATTTGTACTTTATACCTTTTATTTATTTGTTTATATTTCACAACTGGGAAACCTTTTTTGGAAATACTTTCAAAACTGTGATAAAATTTTAGAAATGTTTGTTTTTTTGGCAAAACTAATGATGACAGCTCTGTGACTAACATGTAATAACACACAGAGAAGAACAGGAGCTGGAGTTGCTGAATCATCCTCACCTCAAACCTCCACCTCTTAAAAAGGAATGCTTCAATGCCCCCCACCCAAGCTTCAGATTTAGCTGTGTCATGATTATCAGCTCATCTCAGCTGCGAGTATACTTATAGAAAACCTAACTTAGCTAGCTTTACAAGTCCCATTTAGCAACTACTTCAAGTGACGGGATTCACACTTCTCCAGGTTCTATGCAAACAAGAAACCTGAGGAGAATGTTTGTGTAACACATGCAGCACAGTCTGATCGTCTTGTTTGGATCCTCTCCAATCCAAATCTGAAACCTGATTTGCTGCCCATGATTTAATAACAGTGAAATAGGACATCCTTGAACAAACTCCTAAACAAGCTTCACCTAAAACACAGTGAATTTCATGAGAACCCTTCCAGTCTTACCAGAAGTAGAAAGTTATCGATCCAACTCCAGGCTCTGTCTGCCTCCAGAGTGCCAACCCACGGAGACTGGAAGGTGTAGTTGTATGCTGTCTCAGTGATGTCCAACACAGCGGGGCTCATCAGAGCGAAGGGAACGCACAGCCACTGAGAAAAAGCAATAACCTTCAGCACAGTACAGCACACTAACAACCTTCTGACTGGAAACAAAGGTAGAATGCTAGCTGGCAGCTATTTCTCAAATAAGGTTCACAAAGGACCTCATGTAAGACCACTAATAACAACTGGTGCTCATTCAAGTTATCTTAAATCTTTAAACAACATATTCATCTTATTTTTCACTCAATTGACTTTTTTGCTCTGTGAGGCATTAACAGTTGAACAAGTCTCGGTCAGAACCTTTGTGACCTTTCTCCTTTCCTGTACTTACACATGCTATGTGCAAGGCTTGTCTAGTTAGCAGATCTACCTCACTTGTTAGATAGCTAGTTACATATATCTAATGCTGGCAAAATGCTAGTTAAGTAGCATTTTTCAATCGTTAGTCAAGGTCTTGTTAACATTAGCTAACTTAAGATGTGACTATGTATGTTGCTCTTATCTTTTAACCATCTTCAAAATGTGTGTGCATAGACAAGGCTAGCACGTAGCATATCCAAGCACAGGAAATAAGAAGCTTGCTCAACTGTTGGAGCATAAAGCAAAGTGGGGCAAATAGATTAATTGCCCTCATTGGTGCCCATGTTTGAAAAAACGCCACAAAAGTGCCCTCTCAGATGCCTCTATGGTAGATAAAACATAATAAATTACCCTCTAGGGTGCTAATCTTAACCCTGTTTCACAATAAATGCATCACAACCTTCTTTGCACTAGGGCGCTTTCTGTGCTTTTTTTTCTTGCCCATGCCTCTCAAACTGCCTGAGTCTGCCACTGAGCATACTAAAGTGAGCAAGCATTCACACACATTTTATTGTGTGTGAATTGACAATGACAAACTGCGGTTTAACAGGAAGTTGTGTGCTCTAACTGTTTCATGTTAAACAGCTGGCCGCAGTGACTTCTCTCGTCACTATGCAGATGCACAGATGTACTGAGCAGGCTGGAGAAACTGTTGTTCATCAAGAAATAGTTCCAGCACACAACTCGCCCTAAAATTAAAAAACGTTTTTACTTTTCTGTTTAACAGCTGTTTCCCAGTGCTTCCGGTCTTTATTCTACGCTTGACGGAACACCTGCAGCTCTAGCTCTGTGCTTTAAACACCGTGTGGGAATACATCAGGAAGCAGGAAATAACGATAACTCACCAAGCTGATGAAAATGAGGATGAGCTGTATAATATCGGTGTAGGCCACAGAGTAGAGACCTCCCATCAGGGTGTAGGTAATGGCCACAGCAGCAGAAATCCAGATGCTCACAGTGTAGGACAAATCCAAGATTACACTCATAGTTACACCTGTTAAATGCATACACATTAGTGTTTTAAACACACTATGTAAATACACTCGGTTACACATTTCAGATTTGTAAAGATGTAAAACCATGATGTAGACCAAACATCAAAGCTCTCAGTGTGTAACTAAACTTATCTTGTCTCTTATCGTATCACTCAAACTAATATTTAACCATAAGATAAGATACAGAAAGATATAAATTTGTAATCTCTATATTTTATTTTGAAATTTGGAAGTTGATTGATACTGAGGGAAACTCAATAAACCCATGAGACTTACTTTCTTATTTGGACAGTTGGACCAAAATGCAGCAACCAGCTTTTTTTTTTACAGGTAAATTATTTGTTTGAAGTGGAATCATATAGGCAATCTGGAACTTGGATAGGCGAGGCAGCATTTGGCTATCTAATCCTTATTTAAATCTTTACCAAGGGAAGGTTTGCTTCAGACTTCTTTATCAGCAGAACTACATTACACTGAATCACACCTGTAAGTGTTTTTAATGGCTCAGTTTCTTATCAGTTTGCCTGATTAATTTATCGTATTTTTTAATAACACATAACATAAGCAGACATTTTTAAAAGCATTATCTCTGGAGAACAAACTATGCAGCCTAATAGAAACACTGCTTCTAAATTACCTTAAACATTCCAGTGACATTGCTTGTACTGGAATTTCTTGACACAGGTATACCAATATGAATGTATCTATTACAAGCCAATATGAACTCAGACTATTGGAAACAGCACAAGAATGACGTATATGTGCAGACTTTGACACTGGAAGGATGTTTTCACATTTATCTGCTAGTGGAAAGTTTCAAGCAGATTATTTGCGTGTCTTAATAGATGTCTAGAGGGGATTTGAAGCTAAAATTCCTACATTTGTATCATTACAACCAAATCTAGTGTATAGGTTAAAGCCATAGCATCTGTACACTATACATTTACCATATATAATTTAAAATCTAGAATTAAATTGATGCTTCATAAGTCCCTCCCCTTTTTGCTCTGTGACCAATAACAGTTGAACAAGCCTGAGTAAAAACTTCATGACCCACCCTACCCTGCATCTGATTGGCTTATCTTGACATTTTCACCCTAAACCTAAGCGATCTTACTCTTCATGCCTAAACCCAACCAATCAAACCAATGAGGGCAATGAGTACTAGCCAATCAGAGGCAGAGTGAGCGGGTCATGCCTTTGTAACCGTGGGGAAACTCGTGTTATACTATGTGGAAAAAGATAACCAAATTCTGAAGACGGTTAAAAAATAAAAGCGGTGTATAAATCACATCTTAACTAGCTAGTTAGCAAGTTAGCTACAGAGCATTGTTAGCTAGCATTGTTAATTGTTAGCTAGCTAGTTACTTCTCATAGCTAATGTTAGCAAAACACTAGCTAACTAATGAATTTAGCTAGTTAGATCGCTAGTGTTTAGCTAACATTAACCAACTTAAGATGTGACTATACGCTGGGGGTGTTTTTTTGAGGTGATTTTTTCTTTTTATGAGCTGCGTTAAAAGAAATATTTGCAGGAGAGTATTTAGCATTTTTGTGTTTATTCGTCGCGTCCCACATGTGTTAAGGCCTTTAGGCTATCGTTTAAACATCTTCAGAATTTGGTTGTTTTTTCAACATAGACGAGCCCAGCATAAGGACAGGAAAGGTGACCGAGGTTCCAAAAGGCACGGCGCATATAAAGGGTCAACTGCGTGTTCTATTTGATTAATATAATGCAGTGTGTTTATTTAACACTACATTATTGGACCCATCACTCCTGTGGTTACTAGTGTGATTTAAGGTCTTGTTCTCTTGATGCAGTTATTTCAGACAACTGTACAATTAGACAAAGGCTTGTGTTTCACTCAACACTTCAGCAAAGAGCTGTGATCAACAGCTGCTCTGCTGCCAGGGTCAACATACAAGTATCAAATGCATCACACCCACACACAGAAACATTCTTACCTAATCCTATGAGTGTTCCTGCCACCCACATAATCTCCGATACCAGTGAAGCCAACGAAAGAGCAGCCGTCGGTACTTTTCCATATTTGATCTGGAAAGGATCCATCATGGTCACATATTTATTGTTTCTCATCGGCTCAGCGAAGAACAGGCCACCTAATCGATGGAACATGAAAAGAGAAAGATTTAGATTTAGTGATTGAATGCATCAGACAGGTTTTTGTCATTTAAATGTGTAATAAGCATGTTCAACATTCAGCTTTTGAATTCGAAAATGCTATTAATTAGTTTGATTGACCAGCTATCTCCCTCTTAGCAGTTGAATTCCATTTCTGGTTTAAATATTCTTATTGTTCTCCTTAAATGTCTCTTTAACTTCAAAGATAAAATATTTTGGATTTTCCACAGGAAGCTGTTTAGCAGAAGCGGTAAACCACTTCACTTCACTTCTCTTCAATCAATTTAGATATGACATCCTAAACGATATAGACACTCGGTAAATATATATATGATTTGCTTTTTGAAATAGTGCCTCTGTAATGTAAATGTTTTATTTCATAAAGCACAAACAACACTTTCACAATAACTGTGTCACTGTGTAACCACATTAATGCCAGTGTATTTTCATCAGGGTTTAGGATCTTTCTTTTCTCACATGATTTTCATGTGGAAGAGGAATGTTGTTTTTCGCTGCTAATCTCCAGACATAAGGGAAGTTGAGGTTACATAACTTGTGTTTCCATTCATATAGAAATATCAAACAAAAACATGAATGTTTTGATATTCAAGAAAATAATCTGTCCTCTAATGTTATTATTGTACACTCTCAGGTAGGTTTGTGATGCATATCAGGAGAGGAATTTATGCTGAAGTGCTGTAATTTACGGATTTGTAGCTATAGTGTAAGCCTTCCAGTCAAAATACAAAGATAACAAAAAACTAAATGTCTATGTTTTTATATGATACAACCAAAACGTACAAGTGTACACTTTAATTTCTCATACAGTACCTCTGAAACTAATGACCGAAGTCCTGTCAGTACTTCTAACAAAGTCTTACAGAGCTGAGCCTGACAAGCTGGATCTGAGATGTTCTAAATTGGCCATTTTACAACTTAAACTATTCCTGAGTGTTTTGTGATTTGCCACTTCTATATTTAGAGCCGTCCACTCAAAAATATGTCTTCTTGTTCCTACAGTGTGACGTTTGATCTTCACTGTGCAGAATGATGTCTGAAGAGTTTGACACTAGAAAGATGTTT